TGGGCAATCTACTTCTGTAGTGATACTGCCTCGGAAACCCAAGGAGGGGTCGCTATGGGTCAGTTCTGACTCCACGGCAATGGTTGCATTTTGCATTTGCAATCACTTCCCTTCTGGAAAGTGTTCAGCTTCCATTTAAAAACAGATTTAGTGGCTATTTTAGAACAAATAATACTTAAATTTTTTTCAAACCAGAGTAACAGGCATGTGGAATGCTCTCCCAGAGACTGTCACTATTATTCAGAGCTGGCCCTACTTGAAAAGGACTTACCAACTGTAAGCGGCATGTGTTTGGAATTAATAATAGTTGAAGTTTGAAGGAGGCAGATTTACTCGACAAAATCCATTTTAAAAATAATTTATGCTTTAAAGTTTAAGAGGAGCCCTTCAGTGGTCGTCAAAATAAAGTAAGAATGTTGATTCTCTCTTAGCTTTTGAGGCCAGCAGAAAGGAAGCCCGTGCATGTAGGCAGGACTTTGAACAGGTGAAGAAAAGGAGATATGACCTCTTCAGCCAGTGTTTTGAGCATGTGTCGATCTCAATCGATCGAATCTACAAGCAGCTTTGCAGAAACAACAGCGCTCAAGTACGTATCCCCACCCCAGTCCCAGAGGGAACGGTGGGTTACCGTTGGTGGCTGTTTGCTGGTGGAGATCAGTCATGGCCACCACAGTCTGTGAGTGACTCACATAGTGCAAGGTCGGTTCCTGGAGATGGGCTGTCCGAATGGCCAGGGGGCTAGATTCCTCTCACACCACCAGCTGCCAGCTCAGAAAAGCTGTGGAGCCTGTCCAGGCCCATTTCTTCATCTGAAAGATGAGTGGATCGGATTACTTGGTTTTGAGTTCTGCTCAGTTCTGAGATTCTGTTGTCTGGCACAGCTTTGATTTCATGGAACTGTTCATGACATCAGTGGTAAAGGCAAGGTAGTGGAGAGGACGCTGGGAAATGGCTGATCCAGGGTCTGTGGGTAACCGAGGGGAGGCAAGAACAGAAGGCAGGCTTCAGGGTGCACGTATCCCTCCATGTGATGGTCTCACTGCAGCAGAGTCCACAGTCGAGGCCTGGGGACTGAGTGTGGACCGAAGACAGGACTCAGGCCATGTTCCTCTTCCTCATGTTCTTCTTTTTGACTGAGAGCTGGTAAATTTTTAGCTGAAAATCACTTTTTTCTGTAAGACTGATAAACCCAGAACCCCTTGAGGGCAGGGCTCATGGCCGTATCTATAGTCCCTGGCCCAGAATAGCTATCCTGTAAGAGTCCGATGACTGGACCAAGGAGCGGATTGGGTGGCAGCTGCCCGTTAAGACTCAT